TTTGGGAAAATCCTCCACTATACCTTAAATTAAAAATATTAATATTTACAAAATGGGTATTTTCAAATATATCTAAAAATCTATCTTATTTTCACACCCATAGAAATTTGTTCAGTACGGCTTTGTTCTTACGTCACTATATTTTTATTTCTTGCATTGGGGGTTGTTTCCACAGACAACAAATGTACAGCAGCCTCTCGCTTCAGTGGATTCATTCTCTCATCCACAATTCACAATTCATTCTGCCTTAATCTCTTTTCTCACATGTAATGACGCCATGTATGTACAGTATAAAACAGTGTTGTATGTATGAACACTGCCTGCGGGAACAGAGGGGGCTGGTCTGTGTCGCAGTAATGGCGTGTTATCTGTCTTGGATCGTCATTAACCGTGTGAAATGTGGAATATGAAGTGGTGTAATGTGTCGGTAGTTGGTGATCACAGACCTCCATCTTGTTTATGAGCCGCTGTTAATGTGGCGCCGTGCAAACAGAACCAGGCCGTCATGAAGAATGGGAAACTGTGTGGTGCATGTTCCAATGAACCGGCGCCGGTGATTATGGAATTGTGGAGTTTAGAGCTTCTAACTAGAACCGTGGAGCTCCAGTTAGCATTTTGTCTTATTATGTTTAAGGTTTTGAAGATTTTTTTTAATAAGACAAAACATTTAAAGAAGCTACTACTGCCTAATTACCACATGTTTCGGCAGAAGACTTCCGCCTTTGTCAGCAACATGTGACCACTGCAGAACAGAAAATTGAATAAAAGATAGATAGATAGATAAATAGATCCAGAAGCAGCAAAAAGATATCCATCCACAGGAACAAAACAAATAAACAAACAAATAAATTGATCATTCTAAACAGCTAACAATGATATAATAACATTGCTGTGACACATACAAAAGATGATTGAAATCAGGAAGTGGGGCACACAGCCCATCAACAGAGATGAGAGGGCCTTCACTTTGGCTCATACTTGGGACTAACTTCTCCAGAGACCATAGTGTGGTCAGTCTGACGTATCTGTTAGATCTGTCAGACTGACTGCATCCGGCAACAACAGCTGATCAGAGACGCGTCACTGACGAAGGCAGAAGTCTACCGCTCAAATATATGGTGATTAAGCAGTACTAGCATCTTTAAAAAAATGTATCTTATTAAAAGAACCTCCTAAGCCTAGCTAAGAAGCATTTACAACTTGTCTGTGGTAATGCTGTGTGCACCCTGTGTGCTCTTACCACTGTCCTGTATTTGCACACTGTGGAAAGGTTCTCTTATCTTCTCTGATTTATGAGGCTGTAGAAATGTCATAAAAGTCAAACAAACAGGGCATCTTGGGGTAAAGTTAAATCTCTCAAAGTCAGAGGTAAGTGAAAAAAGCATGTTTGAGATCAATCTATAGATAATTTGGTTTAATGTGAGATCTTTGTCCTAGAACTACAATACCCAGAATGCTTGGTACTCCTGTGCTCATTCTAGGAGGCTTTTGATCGGTTGAGCTAAACCAAACCTCTGGACAAAAAAACAAAATAACTTATGCTACATCTGGATTGATGTTGGTAGTCTTCTTTCTCTATCAGGGTTTTTGTTTTTTTTGTTTTTTTAGAATGATGCAATATTTAAATTAATACACATTCTCTTTTATTCTTTTATCCATGTCAACTATGAAGCAAAAAATATGTTCTTATAACACAAAGGGCATTTAACCCACATTATCTTAGAAAAAAACATTTTATTTCAGATTTGCATCCCCATGATTTGCTTTACTATGTGTGGGTCAATTCCCTTTTTGTGTTGTCTCAGGTGCTTTTTAATAATCCAAGGTCAAGTGTGAGTGTGTATGAATACCACTGCAAAAAATGATAATCTATAAAATTAAACTTGAATCAAACTTGAATCAAGTATTTTTTTTATCTTAATCTGGGCACATTCTGACTGTCTTCAAACAAGATTCTCCAATGGGACAAAGCCATTTAGTCTTATTTCAAGAACTGTTGCTTTATTTTCTTAAAGGAGACATTTCTTGTATCTTTTTTAAAACAAGATGCTTTGTCCCAATGGAAAATCTTGTTTTAAACCAGTCAGAATGTGCTAAAAGGAAGATACATTTTTGTTGAATTTGAGTAATTCTCATTATTTAAAATCAATACATGTAACTGAAAAGTGGGGGGAAATGATCACACACACACATACCACACGCACACACACACACACACACACACACACATACCACACGCACACACACACACACGTACCACACACACACACACACATTTCACTTGAGGCCACATTCCACTTCCTGGCAGTTTTCCTTTTGTGTGTGAATATCTTTTTTTGAGTAAACCCCCAGACAGAGATGAGTGGTGCGCTCGACCATCTGGTGTTTGCGTTTTTAAACATGTGATTTAAAGGATTCACTGTGGGCTGCGCTGCTCTTTTGACATTCATTAAAAATCATGTGTGTGTGTTTATGGCCCTCCTGTTTCCACCGCCCACATGCACATAGGCTGCATTTGACCCGTGCACACGACAGTTAACTGAGGAATACTCATCATATACGTTTTTATTTACATGGAAAAGGATTTAATTACGTCCCTCCAGGCTTTGGAAACGATAAGATTCAACAGCGACACATTCTGCTCCTCTGGGGTCACTCAGTGCTAAACTAAACCTGAAAATAGGTCATTCATTTAGAAGTTTTAGTTACAATCGTTGTATACACTGCAAAAAAAGATACAATATGAGCACATTCTGACTGCGTTAAAACAGGATTCTCCAATGGGACTAAGTCATTTAGTCTGATTTCAAGAACTTTATTTTCTCAGTCCAAGGAAGACATTTCTTGTATCTTTTTGAAAGATAATTTTGCTTGGTCCCATTGGCAAATCTCGATTTAAGGCAGTCAGAATGTGCTCAGATGAAGATACATTTTGCCAAATTCAAACAATTTCTGACTTGTTTATTCTATACTAATTTCCTTGACATTCAACAACATTTATGAACATTGGTCTCTGCCCCTTATGACCAATGACTGTGTTTTTATTCATTGTATTCCTGTCTTTGAACTGTTTGTTTGTCTGATCTGTGTTGGGAATCTACAACTTTGAAAAGTCCTCTGAGATAACTACCGTTGTAATTTTGGGCTATATAAAATTAAACTGAATTGAAATGAATTGAATTGCAGATGGAGGGCAGCTGCCAGTGTTAACTCGAGGGGAAATATGGATTGTTTGTATGGATTAAAAAACAATTCCAGGTCTTGTTTTTGATGAGGAACAATATTGTAACATGATTAAAAGCTATAAAAGGCAATGTAGTATAACATGCTTTGTTTAGTTACATAGTCCATGCAGTCTTTGCGATCTGCAACCACTAACTGCTGTTTCTATTGCAGCCTACACCCACATTACATTTGTAATTGGGAACCAAAGTGAGTGAAAGTAATTAACTCCATTCATACAGTACACTGCAAAAAGTGACTCATTGAAATGTGCTTATACTATCTGCCATTTTAAAAACATGTATTAAGGACAACATGTTGATTGAATATGAAGAAAATTAAAAAATGCTAGATTGGTGACAGATGATGTTGGGGTGAAAATGTTAATGTTTTTGTGATCAGCAAAAACAAGAGACTTTGTGTCTTCTTTCTGTTCCTGTTGGTTCGTGTTGCACAGATGTAAAGAGAATATTTATGATGTATGTATGTATGTAGTATGATGACATGGACCAATACAATTTCTACTTAATTTTATTAAAGATACATGAACATCCAAAACTCTGTTCTGCGTTTGGGTTATTTTCCTTTTGCCAGCATGACAATATTATGCTAAAGCTATCCATCTATCCATTTTCTCTCACAACCTGGCAAAAGATGAAGAAAATGAATGGATGGATAGCTTTAGCATCTAAAGAAGCAAGTGTAGAATTCTGTATATTTGAGTGTGTTTACATCTGTGCGTGTTAGCAGCATGAGGGTTAGGGACACGTGTGGTTCTATATTGCACTTTTTGACTTTATTTATTGCACATATTTTTGACATGTGACGTCAGGTCCTGAAAGAGCAAAAACAAGGTATTTAAAGCCATACATCCACATGATTGAAATGATTCTGTAAGACAACAGAAATACATCCAGCCTCCTCTCCTCCAGCACATTCCCATATTGATTCCCCAGTAAATCCTCCGTGGGTGATATGACAGCTGGCCGAGTTTATCCGTGCCACCGCTGGAGCTTTTCTGTCTGCGATTTATGAATGTGAGAGTGTGATTTGAGGCTGGGTCTCTGACATTTCTGGATCACGGCCCAGACTGAAAGTGAGCCATAGATTCTGATTATAGCAAAGTGACACCTGGGAAAGCGTTCACATTCTCTGCTGATTTGAGCTTGGTTCAGTCCTGGTCTAAGCTCGGTCTGTCATGTATGACATTTATCAACATTCATGGACATTGGTCTCTCCCTATGGACCCTTACATATGTTTATATTTTGTGTCTTAACTGTTGATTCTCTGATCTGTGTTGGTGATTTCAATGGTTTTGTTAAGTCCTCTGAGATGACTTCCGTTGTGATTTAGGGCTATACAAGAATAAGTTGTTGTTGTTGTCCAGGTCTGTGATGCTTTTGTGACATCTCAAATGGGCAGCGATGGATTGATACAAATGAATTTTAGGAGTCTCCTCAAACCATATGGCTTTCCCCAAAAGGAAGGACTCTGACACCACTTTAGGCCGGTTTTGAAGTATTCACATAATTCGTTTGCAGCAATACACTAGCAACATAAAAAATTGGCAACAAAGGGGGGAAATTCAGCATTTTTTGTTCTTACATTATTTTATCAGCAATTCCACTATTTTGAAAACTTGCCTTCCTTGGAATGAGAAAAGAAAGCAACAGTTCTTGAATTAAGACAAAAGTGGCTTTGTCCCAATTGTTTAGATGGAGTCACACTTTTATTCTTGCAGATTTGTTGTCATTCGGTCGTGTTGACGGTTATCTTTATGTTGTGGATCCACAGACAGAGCTCAGGAGACCTGGAGAAGAAGCTGAAGGAGGTGTTCAGTGAAAGGACCAGTCTGCTGCACCAGCTCTCCAAGACCTCCAAGGAACTGGACAGCCTCAAGGGGAACCTGCAGGTCTGTTCTCCATTCCATGTATTGCATATTATGCATTATAAGTCACATGTTACATTTGGGAACCATTTAAAAGAAAAAGAAAACTAAAATTGAAAGACTCTAGGTTTCATATGTTGTTATAGGTTGTAAATCAGGGGTCTCCAACCTTCCCCTCTTAGCGATCCTGTGAAAAATGAGTTGATGATATTGGTGGCAACGAGCCTGCACTGCACACAATGTTAAAATGTGAGATAATAATTGCTTAAATCAAGTGTTTTTTATCTTCATTTGAGCAAATTCTGACTGTCTTAGAAAACAAGATTCTCCAATGACAGAGCTACCCAGCTCCCATGCCTACCCTTGTGTCCAGTCCACACAACTTATTCTTGCTAAGATGAAGCACAACTCGTACTTCAAAAATAGAATAAATTAAAATCTCTATCTTTACCTTTTTAATAAACAAGCAAGTCTAAAATACTGCCTCCTCTAGTGGAGAAAATAAATACATGTAAGTTTACATCTGCAGATAAATCAGTAATATACTAATGCAAGAATACTAGTGATGTCACTACTGTGCATTTTAGTTAAACATTTGTATCATGTCTTTCTGTATTTTACAGTCCTTAAAAAACGATGATTCTGTGGCCAAGAAGGACGTGCAAAGAATCCTGGAGCTGAGCCACAAGCAGAGGTGAGCAGTGAAGGCTACAGAAGGGACTGAACAAAACAGTTCAGTCTAAACACTTTCAGGCCATCAGAAGTCTACTCTAACTGTACTAATATCATTCTAAACAGAACTGTTTATCTGTACTTGACATTGTTAGATTTGAAGCCTGTCTCACATTTTCAAGAAGACTGTTCCAGATTTTAGCAGCATAAATCTGAAATGCTGCCTCCCCATGTTTAGTTTTGACTCTGGGACCAGCAGGAGACCAGTCCCTGTGCTCCTCAGAGTCAGAGTGGGTTCATATGGAACTAGCATGTTACAGATGTACTTGAAAGCCATGGAGAGACTTGTAACAAACAGGGTTTTGAGGTGAAATGAAGGAAGGACCCAAAAAGCAGTAATGCAGAAAAAATTATTCAATGAAGATGACAAAATAAAAAGTCCAAGGTAAAAACTTAAAATCCAAACTTAACCAGGAACATAGATAGACATGAACAGACAAAGACAATGGACCAGCAACAAATGGGGATGAGGACGGGTACATATCGACAGAGCCCCACAGGTACATCAAAATCTGTAACATAAGCAGCTTTTCACCATCTTAAAAAACATAGTGTCCAAAGCAGACTTGGAGATTCTTATCCATGCATTTGTCTCCAGTAGGTTAGACTACTGCAATGGCCTGCTCACAGGTCTGTCCAAACAGGCTGTAAAACAGCTGCAGTACATTCAAAATGCAGCAGCTCGAGTCCTGACTAGATCCAGGAAGTACAACCACATTAGTCCAGTCCTCAGGTCTCTGCACTGGATTCCTGTGGCTCAGAGAATAGACTTTAAAACATCTTTGCCTGTTACAAGTCTCTCCATGGAATCCATTGATGCCATATGAAACCGCTTGGACTCCGAGGAGCAGAGGAACTGGCCTCCTGCTGGTCCCAAAGGACTACAAATATGTCCTTCACAACTACAGAGACGACACTCAGATCTATGTCTGATGAATGAATGAAAATAATGACAGAGGACCTGTTTGTGACAAAGGCATGAAAGAAATCATCTAAATAAACACAAATGCTGATGTGTTTTATTGCAGGGATGAGATGAAGTCCCTTCAGGCGGCGCTGCAGAAACAGTTGGATGAAGCCAACGAGAGAGCGGACAAACAACAGGACACGGTGAGGAACGCCGCACTTGAGTAACCATTTACATTTGGCTGTAGTCTGTAAGGTTTGGCATTTAAAGCAGAATCATGATGTATTTCTTAAAGCTGAAATATCCAAGCCAGGTCTCAACAGCTCCATTGGCTGTTGTCGTCCCAGGTTGACTGACAACGTTCACAGACCGTGGAGAAATAGGCAAAGGAAGTGGCTCATGCAGAGGGTCGTGGCTTTGTTTCACTTGTGCTCCAAAGCTGTACACCTGGGCTGACTGCACCACCCATGAAGGTCAATTATCAACCCAAACTACATGGGATACATTTGCTATTCCAGTTTTAATAGTAAAACTCCTCCCCATCATCGCCTCTTCAGTGGAGTATGGCATGTCTTCGGCTCAGCTTTCTTCGCCACCAGGGTCCAGGCCCCAAGGGCTTCACAAGCTCCATTTAACTCCCTCCTGCAGACACCATGCCGTTTCCCTGACAGGGTTTAATTGCTGAAGCAAAAATGCATACATGTATTAATACCCAATCAAAACATCTTCTGGGTTTAGTTGTTTATTCATACATCTTGACAATGCACATGCAATCTTTGTCTTGAGTCTTTCCATATTGAAAAAGAAGGGACTAGCATGAGTAACACCCACCTAGTGGCCAATGTGGGAGATTACAGTGTGTTGATTTTGATCTTAATCAAACATGGCACATTCAGACGGAAGGCACACTGTTGTAACCCAGAGACATTCCTGAACTGTAAAAAAACAATCTAAGGAATAATTTGCAAACCCATTGAATAAATCATGAATTTGGAACATCAGGCAGGTATGTATGAAATGTGATGAAAAATTTGTCAAAAATTCCTCAAATTAGGCAAAATATTGTTTCATGTGAGCACATTCTGACTGCTTTAAAACAAGATTTGACAATGGGAGAAAGCAAAATGATCTTGTTAAAAAATCTACAAGAAATATCTCCCTTGGATTGAGAGAATAAAGCATGTTATAAGGCAGTCAACATGTGCTCAGATTCAGATAAAAACATCTCAATTTCAAGCAATTATTACCACACATGTTATCACTTTTTTCAGTGTAAGTGAACGGACCATTAAAAACATTGTGTACATTTGAAATAAAATAAAAAATCACTTCCAATCCAAAGTAAAACAAAAAGCGTTCTGTTTTTTTTTCTCTTTGTCTTTCTGAAATAAACAACACTTCCCCAATGTTTAGCAAAATGCTCCTGTCCCTTCCACTTGAACCTCTCGCATCACCGGAATCTAAAACACCAAAGCAACAAATGCATTTCTAGTGTTTTTCCCTTAAAGCCTCTGTCAGGTCCTGCGCGGTGCCTCCTGAATCCTAATGACCTGCTTCTGCTCTCTGTGTTTCACTTTTCCATTAACAGCCATAGGGACCGTGGCACGTGCACAATTTCGCAGCCACATCTGAAGCGACATTTACCATTCTGCTAATACGTGCGTGGTAGTGTCATGCACCGGCGGTTTGACATTTGTGTGCTTTTAAACGCTATTTATCAGCTCAACCGAGACAGAAACAACCGGCCCCTGAAGCACGGAAATGTCAGACGTGTTCAGAAGAGAGCCAAATATCTGCGTCTGAAAAAGGGACCTCGAACTGACTGCGGAGAAGCTTCCTGAGAGTTATAGTTTTCCAAAATTCTAATCGGCAAATGGCAAAGGATGCAGTTGACATTGTTTGCCCTTTGCCAACGGCCTAAAAACACACATATTAGCCACATTACTAGTATAAAACTACAAAAAATAGTTGTTTATTGTTTGGAAATTACAATAGTTTACCAGGGGCCTAAAACCAATGTCTAGAGCACTTCGATTGCAATAATTTTAGCAAATACTCTTGAGCTATTTATCATTTCCTCTATTTAGCAGACAAAACCGTGGCAAGAGCTCTGGTGTGTGTCGTCTGGTGCACACTGGGGTAGTCTTGCACAGTTTTTCCAATGTGATTTTACTGCAAATGGCAAATAAATGAATCTGAATCTGAATATGAATGAACCTCTCCTCCCGTGGATAGACCCTCTGACCTGCGGTCCGATGCCCGGGGCCCACACAAGTACGGCTCCACAGTATATGGGGAATGACTGGCTTTTGGAAATACTTACACCAGCACTGGCCCCGCTCCGGCTGCATGGATCCTCTGTGGGAAAGGGGATAGATAGAATGTCCGGATACTGCACGGATGATGGATTCATTCTTTCATTTTCATTTTTTTCTTTTTTTATAACAGTCAGTTATAGTTATAACAGAATGTTACCAGTTATTTATGTTTGTTTATATAGCACATTTTATAGACCAATGTCACCCAAAGCGATTTACAATGGTCAGAAATCAGATATTTTTCCATTCACATGCGGTGATGATGGAAGCGAGACGCCGAACACACTGGCACATCAAAGCCCCCAACCAACATGGGGAACTATCCACTCAGCCACTGAATACTTTATTATTTTTTGCAGTGCCTGATGGACCCAAGACACATATTCTGTTGTCTCTTTATAAACAATGCCATTTCATGCAGACCTCACAGATGCATCAATTGTAATCTGAACTTTATCCTTTATGCACAATAGTCAGGCACTTGTAAGTTTGATTATAGATTTTCACGTTTTGGTACGGTTTGATCTGTGTGAGTTTTGTATTTTGTGTTTTATTCCTAAACTTTGAATCACAGGCATCAGAACTATCTCCAGGTCATATCCCAATCATTATAGCTCTAGTTAAATGTTCAAAACCCTCTCACTTGAATGAAAACATACAACAAATAATTTTCTTTATTTGACTTTGTTCAATAGTTTTACACACTGCATAAAAAGCAATAAAAATAACCTTTTTGGATGCAATTGGATTAATAAACACTTTTTGTTCCGTTCAATTCCCTTTCAAACTAAATCAACAATTGACCAGGAGGAAATGTTAACTATGTAAGTAATGGGATTTATCGCGATCGAATATTTCAATTGTTTGACAGCATTTATAATAATACCAACATCACTGGCAATTTGTTTTCAGAACTTGTAACATTGAGAAGGCTCTGAACCAATGAACCAATGACCTGACAGGTGATGTCAACTTTCGTCAAATCTGAAAATGAGAAAACTTTCTCTAACAATCAAAATCCAGTGTTGCTGAGATGAAAGCACACGGAAACAGTGGAACATCTTGTCATAGCGTCTGATGTTGTGTGTAAGACTGTTTTTGTTCCTTACAGATAAAATTCATCAAAGTGGAGATGGAGAAGAAGACTAAAATCATCAAAGATCTACAACAAGAGGTGAGTCTCTGCATGTTTTATATCAGTCATTATAACAGACACGAGTACAAGTACAAGGAACCAGCACAGATCGACGGCTCATAAGTCCCGCTGCTCCTCAGTTTGTGAGGTACGGCAAAGCGAGAGGCTGAGTCTTATCTACGTTGTTGATACAGCCTTCTCGTCTGTAAATGTTGGGTCCCCCTTCGAAAAACATCCAAATGTTGTAAAAGCAGAAAACACTCCATCCCTTTGTTCAATAGTGTTTTTGTTGTTTTATTGTGTTTTTTCTACGTGGACATAGGGGCTTCAGGCAAAGTGGGGTCAAGAGTCTTGCCCAGAGAAACAGCAGACATCAGTGGGAGCAGATGGAGTAGGTCTCAGTAGGGATCGAACCCACAACTGAGCCCCTGTCGCCCCTGTTCAATAAACATTTTGGTTTTGTATTGACCTAAATCAGTCTTTTTTAAGTCATTCTATGAGGATTTTGTATTCATCCTTATGTCTATTTTTACGTTTGTACCTTGAGCCAAAGCCAATTCCTAGTTTGTGATTTCTCGTTACCTACAATGGCAATAACAAGAATTCTGCTTCTGCTTCTGATCACAAGACCAGTCGCCTCCCAGAACTTTATTAAGTTCTCGATTCGCCAATAACAGAGTAGATAATTAAACCGTTTGCATACAGGAACAGAAGTCATTGGTCGGTAGGGAGTGGGAGGACCAATGTCCATAAATATCCCAGATCATCATTGCCCATAGACCCTCCAGCATCCTGCCATACAGCCAGACTCGTTATCTCCAAATAACCATAAATATAAATACACAACAGAAAAGAAACCCTATGCCATCATTAAGCTGGGATCCATGATGTTTGCTTTATCTTATTGTCTCCAGCAGAATGTAGCAGCAGATTATACAAAGACTGGAATCTAAAGAAGAGCAGAGGGAGTGAAAGCGCTCACAGGGACAGCCGAAAGCAGTCTTCTGATCATCTCCTCACACTGGCTTCAGTTTGGGCCACAGAGATATGGCAATAGGGGATGACTGTGATGAGAATATATCACTACAAATAATAAGAGATCCATACACAAAGATGTTTGTGTGTGGATTGTCTGGATTTGTCAGCTGATTATTTAGCTGATAGTAGATCATGGTTTCCCCTGAGAGCTTAAAAGAGCTATTTATTATATTGTAAATAAGGAGTGGGTTGTATACGCATTCTTAATATTATGAGTTTAATTTAATATCTGGAAAGCAGCAAGATATGTTCTCAGAGTGGAATAAGTGCATTAATATTATGAATGTATTATAATATGTATGCGTTTCCGTAACAAGCTGGTAATCATCAGTACTATCTGCGTCAGTAAGTAACTGAATCATACTTGTGCCTTTGTGTGCATTTGTATAATCAAGATAAAGATTTATTTATCCCACGTTGGGGAAATTGCACCAGTTACAGAACAATAGAAATCAGGAGCACAAGGCACAATAACTCTATACTGAAAGTAATTAAAATCTTGCGCCAAGTCGAGACCAGTGCCCCTGTCATTCAATCCAAATTAAATCCAATGTATTCTTGACAAACCAAACCGTTTTTCACAATGCACTCGATTATTCTTGTGGACACACTGGTTCACCGTTAATATTTCTTCACACGATATTGTGGATTTCAACTCTCCTAATTTATTACTGTGCTTAGCAACCATTGGACTTATAATTATAATACAACTTTATGTACATAGCACTTTTCAAAAATAGTATTTACAAAGCGCTTCACAGTCAGTATAAACAATAAAAACATCCAAAAATAATAGCCAACAGTCATCATTATACAAAGTCAAAATAATTAACAGTACATACAGGAAAACCAAGCACAAACTAAGTACAAAACCATTGTGGAGCCAGACCCAAATGAGCTTTAAAAGAATACATTCTAAAACGTAGAGGGTGCCAATGGAGGGACGCTAGAACAGGGGTGATGTGCTCCCTTCTGTTAAAACCAGTGAGAGGTGTGGCTTCTGCGTTCTGAACCAGTTGGAGGCGGGAGAGGGATTTGGAGTCAAGACCAGAGAGGAGGGAGCTACAGTGATTGAGCCCGGAGAAGATGAGGGTGTTGGACTTTAGATTATGTTAAACCCAATGATTAACATGATAATCTACACACACTATTTCTTATCAATCTTACAACCTATCTTAACCTCATTCTACACCTGCTACAACCTTTCTCCCAACCTCCCCACATCCCTTACACTTGGTTCGCTCACGCATTTCCTCCAATCACTGCGGTTCGTTTGACTGGACAAAAAGCAGAAGGCGCCTTAAAACTAGCTCAAAGATCCGGCCCATTAGGCTCGCCAATCCTCCCCCCCCGACAGTCCCCCAGCCGCAGATCTGGTTAGCTGGATAAATGACCCACCAACCGGCTGCCATTTGACTTCCTAATGAACTATTAGAGAGTGGCTTTTAACACAGGGGCTCCACTTGTTTTTACAATAGGCACTTAGGACACGCCAAGGGGCCGACGCGCTCGCTGTTCCATTATCCCGCCAAAGGTCTAAAGCTCATTACTATAAGCCACGCCGCAATGTACGCACTCAGGCTGCCAAAACAAAGAGATAAATAGGAGTGGCTGCACAATGGCGTTGAATTGGAGTCGTAAAAGGAAATCCGTCACCGTTGGGAGCCTGATTTGCTGGACTCGTGCGGTTTCACACACGCTGGTCGCTTGGAAATCTTGTTGGACAAATTGTTGGCCAGTCCTTTCTGATAACTTGGTGTAAAATTGGACTTAACGGTGGATTTGTGGAGTCCTTTTTTTGGAAAGATGTGCACTTTAAGCCGGAGTGAGTGAGGACAGAGATCGGTGCTAAATGCATAACTTTTGTAGGCAAGTTTGTTTTTTGTGTTGCATTGGAAAGTGTGAAGGTTGAATTTTGTGTAACTAATAAGATGAAGAGATCCTTTACTCGTCCCACAGTGTGGAAATGTGTTGCATCACCAGTTACAGAACAGTAGTGTTGAGGAGCACACAACACAAGATATATTAATATTAATGTATAGTACAACTCTATACCTAAATAAAATCTGTATATTTAGCTTAATAAAGAAACAAAGTCTATTGCATATAAAATATATACGTTTATGTATAAATGAAGATAAATCAGAAATGCAAGAATATTAGGGTAATAAGTCATTATCTCCGAGTAAAGTTTAAAGTAAAGTGACCAACACATGTGGTCCCATATTGCACATTCTAAAAATTTCAAATCATTGCACGGATGCATGATATTGCACACAATATCATAAAATGAAGACTATTTTGGGGGTGTGTTCAAATGTCAAAGCACAGGAAAGTATTGTTAAGTGTGTAATATGAAAAAAAAAAAACTGTCAGATTTGCCTCTTTCCCTCAAATTATTTCTCCTTTGTAATTCAACATCTCACATTGAAGGCACACAGTGGGAAAGTTGACAGGAGAAATTATAAAACTGGTAGGAAATGACCAAAATTGGCTGATTATATTGTCAAACGGACAATTGATGTTTTGGAATTGGTTTTCAAAATTGTTTCAAATTTATCTAAATGTATATATTTGAAATCATTGGATGGTACAGCTCCACTCAGCCACAAACTAGTCAAACTTTACCCAACATAGTTATGTGTCTATTTTAAAGCTGAGAATTAGCTAAATGAACTTCAATCTGGAGAGATACAGACACAACGTTTCATGGAACTGGTGGGGGCAAGGTTTAGGAACTGGTGGTGGCATAAGGTCTGGGTACTGGTGCTGGCTAGGTCTACTCTAGATACTGGTGGTGGCATAAGGTCAAGGTACTGGTGGTGGCATAAGTTTTAGGTACTGGTGGTGGCATAAGGTCAAGGTACTGGTGGTGGCATAAGGTCAAGGTACTGGTGGTGGCATAAGGTCTAGGTACTGGTGGTGGCATAAGGTCTAGGTACTGGTGGTGGCATAAGGTCTAGGTACTGGTGGTGGCATAAGGTTGAGGTACTGGTGGTGGCATAAGGTCTAGGTACTGGTGGTGGCATAAATTTTAGGTACTGGTGGTGGCATAAGGTCTAGGTACTGGTGGTGGCATAAGTTTTAGGTACTGGTGGTGGCATAAGGTCTAGGTACTGGTGGTGGCATAAGGTCTAGGTACTGGTGGTGGCATAAGGTTGAGGTACTGGTGGTGGCATAAGGTCTAGGTACTGGTGGTGGCATAAGTTTTAGGTACTGGCGGTGGCATAAGGTCTAGGTACTGGTGGTGGATAAGGTCTAGGTACTGGTGGTGGCATAAGGTCTAGGTACTGGTGGTGGCATAAGGTCTAGGTACTGGTGGTGGCATAAGGTCTAGGTACTGGTGGTGGCATAAGGTCAAGGTACTGGTGGTGGCATAAGGTCTAGGTACTGGTGGTGGCATAAGGTCTAGGTACTGGTGGTGGCATAAGGTCTAGGTACTGGTGGTGGCATAAGGTTGAGGTACTGGTGGTGGCATAAGGTCTAGGTACTGGTGGTGGCATAAGTTTTAGGTACTGGTGGTGGCATAAGGTCTAGGTACTGGTGGTGGCATAAGGTCTAGGTACTGGTAGTGGCATAAGGTTGAGGTACTGGTGGTGGCATAAGGTCTAGGTACTGGTGGTGGCATAAGTTCTAGGTACTGGTGGTGGCATAAGGTCTAGGTACTGGTGGTGGCATAAGTTCTAGGTACTGGTGGTGGCATAAGTTCTAGGTACTGGTGGTGGCATAATCAGTCAGAATATACTCATTTGAAGAGAACATTCACTCGATTCAAGCTCTTTATTACCTTATATGTCATCATTTTTTTGCAGTGTAAGCAAATGGTAGATTGTATGAGTTCCAATCACTTTTTTTATTTTTGCAAATTAGCTCTTCATATATAGCGCAACAAGTTTGAAATCAGTGCATTTGGGCTGAAGGGGCGAGAGTGTGCGTCTGTGCCAGTATAGTTCATGGACAAATTTAACACAACTCCAGGTTTTTGTGATACAGTTAGAATTAAAATAAGTAATTCTTTCATAGACTTTTTTGATTCCAAATGAAACGGCTGATGAGGTGATGCTTGTTGTTCGACAGTGTGTTACATTGACTCGTGTCGGCGCGACCTAATTTAGCTTCTAATTCTGATTTAATTATCCCAGTCATTTACATCATTACATCACACTGGAGCCTGTTGCCCTTTTCATCTCAAATGCCTTCGCCTCCTCTTTTGGGCTCCTCCAAATCCAAAATGTCAAACCACACACACATTCGGTGATTTATTTGACTGTGCAGAATGTAATGGATCGGAAACGTCGGCCTGGTAATGTGTCTTGACTGATGAGTTTGATGGCTTGGAATGAAAACTTGTGATGCTAAAAGTGCGGCTGACTGGCTCTAAAGTGTGAACGCTGATGGACAGTAAATAATTGGGAGACGGACGTGTGGAAAAGTGCGAACACTTCCCTCCACCGACAGCTGCCGCGTGTGGGAGACTTCATTATGGACTTCAGGACGCGTCACTTTAATGATTTCAGTTGGTGTTAGATGACATCCTGCAATTTCTGCTTTGTATATCGTAACTTAACATGATTAAGTTCGAAACCTTAAAAACATTTACTTGAGGGATGTCTTGTATCCCGCAAATGGGATAAAAGATTAGGGCAAGAACTGAGAGACTGAAAAGCTTCTTCCTCCAAGGCTAAAGGTCTCCTGAGCTCTTGGGACCGCAGTTATTGTTGATACGTATTTCTTTCACTTCAATCAAACAGATGTATTGGTTACTAGTTTTTTCTCTACATTTTAGTGTTGTTAACATGTCTGTAATTCAGAGTGAAGAGATAGGAGGTCTGTGCTATGACATCACAACATTCCTGTTAGCATGCATTTGTATTTGTGTTCGAATTTGCACATCTCAGGGTGTACAGCTAATCGAAGTCTGAGAGATAAATACATAACCCAAGGAATACGCTGAAAGATTTCACGGTTTCCAGAAGCAAGACAAACACATCAGTCGGCTCCATTCCCAATAAATATGACAAGTGCCGGGGTCGAGCGCAAGTCGAGCTGATTTCCCTAAAAGGATATTGGTTGAAATAACTATTCGATGTCCATGTCATGGTGTGGATTTTATTTTTGTTATTTTATTTTGAAATTGGTCTTGTTGTGGTTTGATTTTAGTTTTGCTTCCTGTCTTGTTCCCCGGTCTTGATTGTCTGCCCCGCCCTGATGTGTTTCACCTGTGTCTCTGTGTGTCTATATGTACCCTGTGCTTCTCTCCCCTTGTTGCTAGTCCATTGTATTGTCAATGTCTTGTCCACGTCTGTTCCTGTTTTGTTGCTGCTTGTGCCTTTGGATTTTGAGTTTTAACCTGGACTTTTATTTTGTTTTCATTAAATGTTATTTCTTTGGCATTCCTGCATTTTGAGTCCTTCCTTCATTCACCTCCCAACATGACAGTCCATCTCAAGAGTATTTAAGGATCTTCTGCAATGATGTAGAGAGACAGGTCCAAGCTGATTTCTGAATCCACTACATTCAACATAAAGACTGCCTTCAACTAAGTATTCAGTCTGGTATTTCTTGCATCATTGATCCTCTGTCCATCTTGTGTTTTACAAGCACAAACACTTATGAGCAGTTTGGGTTTGGGTCAGGGCCATAACTTCAATTCCCAAGAGCATTTTGTTGAAAATGATGTTGGAGCGCAGCTGATCTAAACTATGGTACCTGTCAAAAGTCAGTTTTCGAGTTTAGAGCTGATTTCTCTAATTCCTGGCCCAAACTCCTTAGGCAAGACACTTCACCCACCCCATTGTCTCTAAAGATGAATGAATATTTGGTGGTGGTTGGAGGAGCTGATGGCACATACTGGTTGCCGGCTGTGGTGACTGAAGTATATCAACACTGTGTATGGAGTGAAATAATAATTAGTGGGAAGCATCTTTGCATGTTATTTGTTTATTTAAACTGAAAAATGTACTTAAATGAAACAAAAAAATATATTTTTTTTTACATTTGTTTGATTTTTTTCAGTTCTGCCCACCTCATCCATTTCCACTTCATATTCAAATCAGTTCAGTATTGCGGCCGACACATTATTGTAGTAAAAGTACATCTGCTCTCAGCTGCGAGTCCATGTTTTCTGTGAGCAGAGATTTTACAAGTGTAATTCCAGGGCCACAGCGCAGCAGAGGGGACTTTTATTACCGCTCTTCAACATACAATCCAAATCTATCAGAGTCTCACACTGAGTTCATCACGTAGAGGAACAAAGTCATCTCACCAGTGTCCGCAGAGTTGAGCTCTATAACGATGGCTTTTATTAGAAACAGTCCTCATGCAGTCATTGCAAATCCACAAACAGACAAATGCTGCTTCACAGACTCTAAACCTCCAATCAATACGTATTTTGTTAGACACAACGACGTGTTTTTACATAGTCATTAATAATTAACAGCAGATACAGGTAGACAAAGCAGATCGAGGGAAACAGGAGGAAAGACAAAATAAAGATGGTGAAATATTAAATCTGAAGTTCGAAACAAGCAGTTAAAAGCTGTTTGATAAAAGTGGATTTAAAAAAGTGATTTAGAAGAGGATACTGATGGTGCTAGCCTTCTTTTCTCGGGCAGGTCGTTCCAAAGCCGAGGAGCATGGGCAGAGAAGGCTCGATCACACTTTGTCCGGAGCCTCGACCTTGGAACACTCAACAGGGACCTAAGGTTGCGGGGGGTGCTCTTAGGGGGTTAAAGTTCATGAAATGACTATGTTTCCACTCATTCTCGAGGTTCGTCTCAGTCTACAGTAAATGTTAGAATGTTACTGTACACACACTCACACTCACATGTTCACACGGTAGGATTCTGAATGAAGGTGAAGAGAAGATGCCAGGGGTTTGAGAATAGTCCTGGAAGTGTGATTGCTGGTTATACTGCTTTGGGGTGATCATAGAGAGTTGTGTTGCTGGAGCTCATTTCAAAAAGACCACCAAAAAAAAGACCTTTTCAAAAAGACTAGACAAGAGTTCATGGTCATTCAATTAAATGTATAGTCTCTGACTTTAAAACGTTTTCGATTCACCAACACAGATCAGATAATCAAATATTTTGAACACAGCAAATACAATAATATTAGACACATAGAGCCATTGATCCATGCGGAGCAGGATGACCATCAAAGTGCATGAATGTCCAATTTGAGAGGGATCTGACGAGACTTCCAGGCAGGGAGGGGAGTGAGGCAGACCCCCGCCTGCCCACGCTTAGGAGCTACCTCAGTCCTGCACAATTTGGCCTTGGTCCTTGGTATACAGCCTGAGTCCTGGATCTAAAGCCCATACAATTTTGAGTTGTTCCAAGACAACTTGTCCCTAACCTGTCCCCTATCTCTAACCTGTCTCTAACCTATCTCTAACTTGTTGTGTTTTTGTGTTTTAGAACAAAAGCCTGAAGAACAAGCTTCTCTCCGGGAACAAACTGTGTGACACTTACGCTGAAGAGGTGAGCTACTCCCAAAGCCAGTGTTCATTTTTTAACAAGATTGTTCAAACCTCAGAGACTCCTCACATGGTGAAGTATGTGTCCAGCCACACGACAAAATCAACACATCACACACAAGCCAGTTTTAGTCTCTGGCCTCTCTCTGGTCTTTCTCTGATTTCCCTCTCTCTTGTTTCTCTCTAGTCTCTCTCTGGTCTCCCACTGGTCTCTCTCTGGTCACTCTCTGGTCTCTCTCTGGTCACTCTCTAGTCTCTCTCTGGTCTATTTCTGATCAGTTTATCTGGTCTCTCTCTGATCTATCTCTAGTCTCTCTCTGGTCCCTCTCTGGTCACTATCTGGTCACTCTCGGGTCTCTCTCTGGTCACTCTCTGGTCACTCTCTAGTCTCTCTCTAGTCTCTTTCTGGTCACTATAGGGTCTTTCTCGGGTCACTCTCTGGTCACTCTCTGGTCTCTCTCTAGTTTATCTCTAGTCTCTCTCTGGTCTCTCTCTCTAGTCTCTCTCTGGTCTCTCTCTCTAGTCTCTCTCTGGTTCCTCTCTCTTTGGTATCTTTCTGGTCTCCCTGTTGTCGCTCTATAGTCTCTCTCTGGTCTATCTCTGATCAGTTTATCTGATCTCTCTCTCTGATCTCTCTCTAGTCTCTCTCTAGTCTCTCCTTGGTCTCTCTCTAGTCCCTTTCTGGTATCTCTCTCTGGTATCTCAATCTTCACAGATGAGGACGTTTTTGAAAATGCAGAAAAGTACTCAAAAATGTCTTCTAGCTTTCACCCGTTGTCTTCATCACCTCTGCACACGAGCCAATCACAAGCCCCCGCTGTGCAATCAAAGACCAACGCGCTTTTTTTTTTTCTAACTTCAGACACAAAAAGAAAATAGCCTGAGAAATGCTTAAACTACTTGCCGGTTACTCTGCCTTTCCTCTTGTTGATTTTGGGATTTATATCACGTTTCAGCAGACTCTCGGATCTGTGTTGGCAAATCGACAACTTTGTGAAGTCCTCTGAGATAAGAGGGCTACGCAAAAAACATTGAATTGAAGTAACCCTAGTATTTACATGTATGTGTTTTTCTCCTTTTCTTCCAATAATGTTCTGTATTTTGCTCCATTCATCCTCCCTATCAACCCACCACACTTCCCTGTCCCTGTTGAAGAAAAGCTGCCCCACAGTATGATTCTGATACTGGGGACGATGAGCCTGACAAAATGTGCAATATTTCAAGTTGTATTTCCTCAAAGTGTGTGCAGAATTTCAATCTCAGTAATTAAAAGCACACATGTCTTTTGTGGCAGCCAGAGCTCATAAAGTCGCAGTGCTTTCTTCAGGTCCCTGGACTCCGCAGTCAAAGTGCATTCTCATGTCTGGATCAAGAGCTAAAAGCGGAACGGAAGTCACTGCTGCTGATCAATGTCTCTGTGCTGGGCTCTTGGAAACAACTCAGACTCTTACAGTACAATACACTTCACTTCTAATTTCACAAATAGATGATAGATGTTTGTACTGAGTATCACAGGGTATATTTCACTGAAGGAGCTCAGAGTAGAGTTTTGTTCGGGCCTGAAAAATCAAGCCCGACCTGGCCTGAACCCGCTAATACTAAGCCCGAGCCCGTATAAGCCCGACCAATTAACGCTGTATAATAGGCCCGAGCCCGACAGAACCCGACACGTTAGATTTCCCTTTTTGATCAAGATTTGGGAAATTGTCTTATAACTAGCATTTATTATTGTTACTTATAGAATAAGGTTTGGCCTGGGCGGGACCTTCTCTGACAACAGGAACAAAAAATAGTTTTGTTTTTTATGTGGTGAGATGAAGCAAGGTCCCAAAAAAAATAGTCCAGGGATAAAAAAAACAAAACAGCCAAACAAAACTCAGGAACCAGATAAAAACAGACAGACAAAAAGCATGGACCAGCAACAAGGAGAGAGAAGCACAGGTACATATAGAAAGAGACACAGTTGAAACATGAGGGCGGGGCAGACAATGAACACAGGGGAACAGGACAGGAAGTCAAACTAAATAAAGCCAATGTACGAAATAACACTAAATCCACACCATGACATTTTTATCGACAAACAAGCTAGGCTTAGTTTTGGAGAAATCCCACCATACACTGGCGACACACAGTTGACGGCAGTGTACAGCACCATGTGGAGAGAATCCCTTCTGTGACTTCTGGACACATCATCAACAGCGAGAACGGCACAGTCCTGTTTAGCTGTGTTTTGGAACCGGAGCATATTGTATCTGACAGATGAAGTCTCTGCAGAGATAAACCGACAAAGGCAGTGTGCGCACAGGCTCTCAGTTTGAAGTGGTCATTAATAAATCATGAATAAGAAGAGTTCTAATGAGCAGCTTCTGACGGACAGTCAGAGAGCGCGTGCACAGAGACGGTGGAAGAGCCAGAGGAGCCTGTCACATCAAACTGGCTCCAAGAGGAAGAGAGAGGGTCCTGGGGGAGTCCAGGCCAGGTCCTGAAGACGAAAGGGTCCAGGGGAGGTCCTGAAGAGAGAGGGTCCAGGGGAGGTTCTGATGACGAGATGGTCCAAGGTAGGTCCCGAAGAGGGATGGTCCAGGGAAAGTCCTGAAGAGGGATGGTCCAGGGGAATTCCCGAAAAGAGAGGGTCCAGGGGAAGTCCTGAAGAGAGAGGGTCCAAGGGAGGTCCTGAAGAGGGATGGTCCAGGGGAAGTCCTGATGACGAGAGGGTCCAGGGGAGGTCGAGTGATGATGAGCTGCCGACCCAGGCTTTGTGGAAAAGTTCCTTCTGTAACTGTTGCAGAGTTATTGGAGGGGATGTTCTGAACTTCAAATGGAGTTCAGTTTTTTTTTTTCTATTTATCAATTCAATTTCAATTTCTTGTCTGCATAGGATTCCTCTGGGTGCTCCGGTTTCCCCTACGACTAAAAACAGGTCTGAGTGAGTGAGTGAATGGATGGTGTTTCGTCATCACTGTGTGGAGAGAATGGAACAATGTCTGAACTCTGAACCGTTAAGGTATAATGTGCTATATAAATAAATATTACTCACATACTACTTACTATAGAGCCATTGGTCCATAAGGAGCAGATGACAAATGCCCATAAACGGCTCTAACTGAGGGATTTTAACTTACTCTTTTTAATGTACTGTGATTATTTATGATTTTAATTCCTAAAGTGTGATTGTTTCCACCATGTTTTGAGTTGCCTTGTGTCCGAACTGTGCGACACAAATAAACTTTCTTTGCTTAAAAGTGCTGAGGATTATGCGACAATGTTATGTTAAGTATTGCACTGGAACGTTCTCTTCCATCTCTGCCTTTGGTCTGAACAAGGCATGTTTTTGCTCAGAATTCCTTGAGTGAAAAAGTGAAAGGAGTTGGAAACCGTCCCAGAGTCTGTACTGAAAAGACACACACACACACACACACTGAACACACACACATACACTAAACGTACACAAGCTACACACAAACGGCCTCATGCAGCTCTGGCGCAGGATAAAGCCAATATTCAATAGTCTCTCAGCCAAAGGAACATCCACAAAGCCTCCTCCTGCCGCCGTCCTGCCACCTGATCTAAAACCAATTCCCTTATTTGAATACGCTAACGTCTATGTCCTTATCTTTCTCTTGCAGTCCAAAAAGATCCAGGCTCAGCTGAAGGAACTACGCTACGGGAAAAAGGATTTAATTTTTAAGGTGAGTGCATAGCGCGAGAGGCGTGTGGGCCGCGGGAACATGGGGCTGGAAGAACCGAAAAGAAAACACACACACACACAGGCTTTATGTGCAACGGAAATGTGAGCAAAGACACCTGGAAGAGGTTGGTTCTCATCCAGGTTTTCAGATGAAGATGAAGAGTGCCCTGATTCGTCTCACAGTGGGGAAATGTCAGTGTTGCATCACCAGGTAAAGAAGAGTAGGGACAGCAAGTAAAAAACTCGGGAATTGCTTTGGCTCTTGGTGCAAAAAAGTTTTAAAAGTACAAATGGAATAAGGGCATGCATGAAAAGAAAGTGATAGTACCATAAAGTGACAGTAGCTTAAAGTGAAGGTTGTAAAGAGCAAGGGACATGATGAGTTAGGAAATGTGCATGAGTACAACACACAAAAGTAAAACGAAATTTCTAACTTTAGAATAATAAAGAAGCACGTACTCTCCCTCAGACTGACAAGGCAAGGCAACTATGGGGGGTGTACCATCGGCCCCTTTCGACCATCACCAATCATACACACTCATTCACACGCACACACACACAAATATCTGATTTCTGAACATTGTAAAGTGCTTTGGGTGATCTTGGTCTGTGAAATGCGCTACATAATAAACATTACTCACTTACTTAACTACACAAACACGGAGAGACAAGGCTACCAGGGTCTGTGCCATTGGCCCCTTTCGACCACCACCAATCACACACACTCACATGCACACATGCAAACGCACACACACACACTAGACTCCTGTTATCAGTCCTTTATGTGTCTGGTAGGGTGTGTGCTTGACAGACAAGATCAACCAATTAGTGATACGTCAGCTATAACACTTCCTGATCTGGCTTGAGGCACGTTCTATCGTCTAAGTGATTTAATTCAGAAGAAACCAGTGGATCAGTTTCTGCGGGAGCGCCACACGCACTAAATATTGTGGAAAAGGAAAGCGGAGAAAGTTCACCGCTTTCCTTTTCCTTTTCCACAATCTCTGTCTGATTGCAGCGTTTTTCAGCACATACCTCCTTATCTTTCCTTGTGCTTCGAAAGTGACCTTTTGTGAGAGCTCCAGGTTTGGTCAAGTGACATTTAACACCGTTGAAAATATGTTTTTTCCGTCACTTTGATCATTTCTTCTAACCACGAAAGGTCAATACAGGAGGAAAAGACAAGGAAGGGGAAAATTTAATTAAATGCAGGACAAGTTTGTTATGTTTCAAGTTCTATCGTTAGTACCTTTTTATACTGATTTATTTGGGTGGACATGGTTTTGCTGCTGGACGCCTGAATATGTCATCAATAAAGTATATCTTTCTAACATCAGGTCTGTCGGTGTTGGTGTTTTAAAGATTGTTTATGTTCCAGCGCCTCTTACATTTTGTCACATATGAATAGAGGTACAAGGCGCTGATGGTTCTTTCATCTTCCAGTGAATGGGGCCTGTTGTGAAAGGTGACATTGTAAAATTGTTTTGGAAAATGGATGTTTTCTGTGTCAGGACCCCTCTCCCCTGTCATCACGTTGTGCCACCAAACTTTTAACACGATCGATTCTTGTTCTTTGAAAAGCGAGAGTATAGTGTTGTATCTAAATTCTATCTTTAAGTAGAAAGAAACTTTCAGCACTGTTGTCGTGTTTGCTCGCAATAAAACAGAATAGATCAGAAGTAACTTTGAGGTCCCTTTTGCATCTTGATTTTAAATGAATGTGCTTTTTCTCATTTTTACTAGGGAGAGGTTGTCTATCTTTATATTAATAAACATGGTGTGGTTTTTGTCTTGATAAAATTTGCTTTAAAGGAGCAGTATGTAAAAATCTGGCCGAAAGTGTTACTGCACTCTCCCTGACTCAGGTTGCCAGATATGCAGATAAATCCAGCTGGGACCATTATATCTGAAAAGAAAATATTTTTGTCCATCCTTCCATTTTCTTCCCCTTAATCCATTTCTGGGTTGGGATGGTTGCAGTCAGAGCTGCACCCAGTACACAGTGCACCAGCCCCTCACTGGTCCTCCTGCAGGTGGTGAGTCCACAGGAGCTGAAATCTTTCAGTGGGGGCTTCAGTCAAAGTGGGGTTATTTGTGGGAGTCGTGAAGTAGGTCTTTGTCGAACACACAACCTCCAGGCTCAAAGGCCAATGCTCTACCAACTGAGCCACCATAGGTCAGTTTTTTTGTCAACAACAAATATATAACCAACACCTTTTTCACAAAAGCCTCAATAGAAATCTTTTCATTCCTTGTTTTGACGTTAATGATTTTAGAATCATAACGACACCTTTTTTAGTTCTTCAGCCACATGTCTTTAGCAGTGAGATTAGCTCGACGCAGTGAGTTCTGGCAACCCGGATCACAGACTTTCTGATTGGTAAAACGGTGGAGGGCGGGGCATCAAGATGAAAACAATAACAAGATTAAGGGGCTGTAAAACTTTTTATATTCCGGCTGAACTACTGTTTTCAGTTAAAGACGCATTCCAAAAGAGCATGGGTTATTAATGCCGTTTGACGGATTAGGGCCATTTAATGATGACTTGACCAAAAAATCTTACATACCACTACTTTAAAATGATACATACAGGCCATATTAGCCCAGACTTTCAGCAAAGTGCATGTCCATACATTCAACAATCCTACTGATTTGTACCAATGCAGCTATATTTGAACATTATTCATCAAACAGACTGGATGATAATCTGCAGACCGTGTGGGTTAAGTGGATCGTGGCGTTGCGATGAAAGTTGCATTAGTCTGTCTTGAATAAAGTCTCTTGTGTTGGGAACGCAATCAGTCACAGTCTGAGGGCCGCTCTCTGCTCTTCATCATCACAACAATCAGTTTCACTAAATGTTGGAGTCAAAGTGTCACAAACTGCATTTCCAGTTTTTGCACGTTCGGAAGTCAGATTCAGATCAGCAATGAAACCACGTTGGAATACATGTGTAAAAGTCCCCAGTGTGCACCTGACAAGTACATCAGTAAAACAAACTAAAAAGTACAGAAATAAAACGTCAAAACCAATCAACATCCAGATGTCCTGCATCTCAACGAACAATATCTTCAGACAGAAGGAAGAAGCAGGAACATGGCTTTTTTTAGGGGCCAGAAGAGTCAGTGATAATTAAGGGTCGAGATTTATAAACAGCCTCCAGAATAGGCAACTCACAGTCCTCTTTGTAGAGCAGAGAAACTCACTCTCTCTCTGCTCTCTCTCTCTGTTCTCATTCAGATCCTCTCTCTGGTCTCTCTCGCTGGTCTCTCTCTGGTCTCTCTCGCTGGTCTCTCTCTGGTCTCTCTGTGGTCTCTCTCTGGTCTCTCTCTGGTCTCTCTTTGGTACCTCTATGGTCTCTGTATGGTCTCTCTCTCTGGTCTCTCTCTCGTATCTCTATGGTCTCCCTCTGGTCTCTCTCTGGTCAAACCACACTCTATGCTAATGTCCGAGATTCCATACTAAATTCTAGCTTCCTCATTATGTTAAAATTTGAGGTTTTATATTTTCTTCCTTATTATACTAGACCTATAATTGCTTCTCTTTATTTAATTTCAGTTATTTTGTCTTGTGCTGTGTGGTTCTTGTCCCTTCTGTTTTGTACTTAACTGGTGATTCAACACTGAAATGTCCTTAAATGTTAGTTAATGCTATGTAAAGTAAGGTGAAATGTGTTGTGGTCACCTGTTTACGCGCCCTGTTTCTGCTCAGGGACAGCAGCTGATGGACCTGGAGCAGAAGCTGACCGCAGCCAAAGAAGAACTGGAGAAGACAGCTCTGGATAAGGTCTGGAGGATTTTGTCTATTTTAATTACTGTATATGGCACATTTACAATATCACCGGCTGCTTTATAAGTCCGTCACATGCACAGAAAACACCAAATATGAATCACAAAAAACGTCATTAAATAGAACAAGCAACCAACTCCACATCCCTACACATTCCCCAAGTTTGTGCCACAGACCAGATTAAAGCTACGGCACCTAATTTTTTAACTACAGAAAATGGAACCATCAAGGATCCATAGTTCCTTTCTCTCATTCCAGTTTCTATCTCTAGTTTGCACATGCATCTAAAAAGGTTTTTTACTACTACTATCTACTTTAGTGGAAAAAAAGTCCTTAGTGTCATTATGTCATGTCTGAAAGTGTGAAGTGGCATTTTGATTGGAGTAAAGAAATTACAGTAATAAGCCTTTTTATTTATTTTTTTTGGATCCCATTTCCACGGAGAATCTTGAAATTGAATTAATCCACATCACAAGATAATTGAGCTCTATACTAAATTGAAATAAAATCTATAACTTTAGCATACAATATTTGCAAGAATTAAATACTGTATATTCTAGTGCAATATATATACAGTATATATAGGTGTATTTATACATCTGGGACACAGTGAGACAAAGTAAATTAAAGTGACACATGTGGTTCTATTTTGCATATTCTGGCATTAGTTCAAATCATTGCACAGAAACAGAACATGTGAGGTCAGGTCTGCAGTGTTTATTAGTCCTCATTGTTTGTTGTACAGTCTGACAGCAGCAGTAAGAAAAGTCCTGTGGAACCTTTTCTTCTTACAGCAAGGGTGGATCTGTCTGTCACTGGAGCTGCTCTCCAAAGCAGACAAAGTGTCCTGCAGAGTAACGGCCCAGCATAGATGTTAGTAGTTAGCTGCTAAAACTTAGTTGTCAGAATCATACGTCCATAAATTTGACCACAATGAAAATACACATATTAACCGCACTGTGATACAAGCCACAGGGTTCTAGAAAAAATAGAGTAAAATAGCAGCAGCTTATAGTCCGGACATTTTTTTGTTTTTTTTGTTTTTGATAAAGCACTTTGGGTTGCATTGTATGAATTAACTTTATTCATATATTTGATTGATTGAAATTTCAGTAAATCTGAATAATTTCGACCAGCCCTGGATGAAATACTGTGTCACGAGGGGAAATGAAGAATAAGAGAACCCAAAAGGCAGGACTAAAAATCATATGTAATTTAATAAAAAGTCCAAATCCAGAATGACAAAAAAACACCAAATTGCAGAACTGAAAAATAAGACAGGGAAAAAAGCATGGTAGAGACAACGGACAGACAACAAGCAGGGAAAAGCAGAGGGCATAAATACATTAGGGCGGGGCTCACAATCAACTGGAGAGACAGGAAGCAAACTCAAACTGCAAGAGAACAAAAATAGTAAGATAAAACCAGGTCAAAATAATCCCAAAAGTCCACACCATGACATACTGACATGTTTTGGGAGTCTCCAGTTCACAGTTAGCTCAGAGCCACATAAATCTTGTTAATCCACTTTACAGATGTGTGTCTCTCTCTGTCGCAGGAGTCGCAGCTGAAGGCCTTGAAAGACACGGTCCACATCTGCTTCTCGGCCGTCCTCCACAACAACAACCAGGCGGGCAGTTCACGCTTCCCCAGCCATCCCAGCGCCCTCTTCAGATACGCCCCCCTCCTCAACAGCTCGCGGGTCACCTTCCAGCAGCCGCACGCAAAGGTGTCCTCCCACACCTCTGCGTTTATGCACAATAGGTCTGAATGCAGTGAGTGAGTGGATGGTGTTTGGTCAGAGGCTTTGATGGTCCAGTGTGTCCGGGGTCTCGCTTCCGTCATCACCGTATGGAGAGAATGGAACAATATCTGAACATTGTAAAGCGCTTTGGATGACCTTGGTCAGTAAAAAAATGCGCTATATAAGTAAAGATTACTTACTTACACACCCAAGCATTGCAAATAGTTATGAAGAATAAGTCCACAAGATTTGCCAATGAGAAAGAGCGAAATGACCTTGTTTCAAAAAAAGTCAAGAAATGTCTGTCTTGGAATGAGATGATACAGTTTTTGAAATAAGACTAAATGTCTTTGACCCATTGGAGAATTGTGTTTTAACACAGTCAGAATGTACTCAATTAAAGATAAGAAACCACTCGATTCAAGAACTTTGTCGTGGATTACAGGCGAGCTCGGATTGCTGTGATTAGTTGTGCTTTTTTTTCTCCCAAAGTGCATAAAAATTGGTGCAGGTAGTGCAGAGCATAATATAAAGTGAATTCTGCAGAAAACAACAACAGGTTCACCCTGACACGTAGGTCACCTTTAAGTAGTCCAGTTACCTCCTCTGTAACCAGCGGCAGAGTGACGACACGGCTCCTCTTTATAGTCTTCCTTGCCCCTCCCATTGAGCAAAAAAAATTATCAGAAAAGAGACCCATTCCCTAATGGTCCAACACAAATAAGTACACTTTACCATAAACCATTACATGATTTAACAGTTAAAACATGTATATTAATAACGCGCATCACATGAGCACAATTCCCGCTCCGTCACAAACTTTTTACCTCATATTTTATCAGTCCAAGTCCAGTTGATCCAATGTGTTTTTATCCAGTCCTCTCGCCTGGTTCCCCTCATCTCCTAGTGTTATATCTAGTCGTCGATTCGTCTGGTCTCAATTCCTGCCTCATCTCAATCAATCAATCAATCAAATTTTATTTATAAAGCGCTTTTCATACAAAAGATGCAACACAAAGTGCTTTACAGTTTGGTTAAAAACAATCCCGCCGACCCAAGACCCCTCCCCCAGACCACCCAACAGACCCACCCCAAACCACAGACAAACACACGCACGCTCTCATGAACACACACACACACACACACACACACACACACACACACACACACACCAGTAAAACAATAAAACCATGATGAGAGACTTGGCGGGGTTCAGATGCAACGAGCTGAAAAAGCGTCATCCAAGGAGCCGTCTGCACCAGGAGCAGAGAGCCGCCGTTGTTTTGAGAGATCCTTTGTTCACTTGGCTATAAGACTGTTATTATTAGTAACAGTGTTATTTTAATTTTTTTAGCATTGTCAGACTCCATTTGTAAGCTTTTCATAGCTTCCTATGGTAATGAAATAAGCAATGTTCCAACAGGGTATTGGAGTTGATCCTTGCAGGAGGGTTTAAGAACAGTCTTTTTCTTTTTTTATCACTGCATTTCCTGTGTTTGATTCTCTGATCTGTGTTGGCGAATCGACAGCTTTGTAAAGTCCTCCAAGATAAATATTGTTGTGGTTTAGGGCTGTAAAAGAATAAATAGATGTAGATTGGATCGGATACATTGTAGCATTTTTGCAGTAAAGAAAGCCCCAGTTACTAACACAATGTCAAAAAGATGTATTATATGAACTCAAATGAGGCCAGCACTCCCAGAACCACTGAGTATTGATTTATTTTGACCTTTCCCCCGCGGCCCAGTGGAGCAGAGTGGAGCTGAGTGGAGCAGAGTGGAGCACACCTGCACAGGCCTCAGCTGTGTCCCCTCTGAGCCTGTGACCTCAGCCTGGCCCTGCATGTTTTCTGGTGTTTGGTGACTTGATAATGGCATGTCTGAGCCTCGCACTCGGTCACAGCAGAGCGGATCACAGAATAATCCCTTTAGCAGCAGAAGAGTTCTCAGAAGACGCAGCCGCAAGTGTTTCCTCCACAACCGCAGTCCGCTGTTCCACATGAAAACAGTTTCAGATCCACTTCTACAGTCTGGCCTTTTCTATTCAGCCCTCTTATATTACAATGGGTCTATACTTGCATGCAGATCCTGTCAGACCGGTAAAGCAGGGCAGGGCCTGGTTAGTACTGTGATGGGAGACCTCTGGGAACACCAGGTGCCACAGTGGGGCGGCTGTAAAGTGCCGAAGTGTGGTTGTGTCCTTAGGCAAAACACTTCACCCACATTATAATGAGTCTGGTGAGTGTTGGTGGTGGTCGGACTGGTTGTCCCGCTTCTGTCAGTTTGGCCCAGGGCAACTGTGGCTACAGTTGTAGTTCATCACCATTGTGTATGGAGTGAAAGATTGATGACACATGAAGCGACTTTCAGTGTCCAAAAAAGCGCTAAATGAAACCCATTCAGGAGCACGGAGGACACGAATTCAGGCGCAACCTTAAATTTGTGCAAAAAAAAAAATTGGCAAAATCAGGGCCCAGGGTTTTTCCAGCTTGGACAATAAGTCTGACTATTTAATTCAATAATGTACCTTAACTTTTGGACGATTATAATGTATTTATTTGTTCTTATTCTTTGATCCCTGCGGCTTAAATAGCAATGTGGTTAATATGTGTATTTTGATACTGATAGAGTGGTCAGGTTTTAGTAGCTGTAGGACACTCGTGCGCCTTATAGAATGTACAGTAGATGTATATTTTTCTGTGTCCATTTGCTCCTCGTGTTAAAGATTGATCATTTTGCGTCTGTGTTTGTGTCCAGGACATATCCAAAATCCAAAGAATCGTCACAGGTTCCAAATCAGCAGTGAGCACGGCGAGGCGAGAGGAGGCTGCCGTGACGCAGTGTCCCGGACAGGACGGAGGCGACTGCGGCCACAACCAGAGCGAGGCGGCAGGAGGGAGGAAAAAGCACACGGACACAGAGGAGGTGAGGAGGGGGACAGGCTTTCTACTCAGAGACACAACCTGAACAGTTTCGTCACCAATCTCGTTCGCCCAATGTCGCTGCTGAGAGTCTGGGCTACTGTCACAGAGCGAGTATGGGGAGGGAGGTGTGTGGTCAGAGAGTGTTTGTGCCTGTTTTCGACTCCTACGAGGATCAAAATACTATCTATCTATCAATTGTATTCAATTTATTTTTGCATAACCCTAAATCACAACAGTAATAATCTCGGAGGACTTTAAAAAGCCATTGATTCGACAACACATCTGAGAATCAGTTCACACAGTTAAAACACAAGAGGCAGTGAAAAGGATTTTGCTCAAATTAAGATAAATGTTGCTAAATTTGATCAATGTCTAACTTGTCCACCTCTTTTTGTATTGTAGAAAACACATTGGTCCATGAGGGACAGATGACCAATGTCCATACATGTTGATAAAGTCCATAAATGTCATTGAATGTCTATCAATCTATCCATGAATAATCACCATGTTTATAATCAAGGATACAGTCACCATGGACAGATACACAGATCATTACATTTAAAAGTTTTCTCATCTGTTCCCATCCACCCACAGTCCTTTGTGATTCCCCCAAACCTCCAGCAGGAGTGTTGCACGTGGGCCAATCTGCTGCGCTCTCCTCATTCCACTGCATAAAGTCATCAGCGTCCTGGTATTATGGGATGGAGACACACCTGTGGAGAGGCGGCAGATGGCACAGTAAACAATCTCATTCCACCTGACTGGCCCTGAACCTCCGCACGCATCCCAATCACTCCGCCGCCAAATTTAGACCTGATTTGCACGAAAAGCCCATCCATATTTCAAACGGTGACGGATGTGAAGCCACCGAGGGGAGAATTATGATTGTGATTAGCATGGAAACTTTTGCCAGTCCATACATAACTTTGACTCTCAGACACAGAATGCATACAGTATATGTTTGTCTTTTTAGAGTTTTCTACGTGATTTCAGCGACTTAAAACATTGTATGTTTTGGTCACACTTTAGTTTAGCTCTCAATAATTGATAGTTAACTCATTGACTTCCAGCTGTTTTTGATTATTTCACTGATTTTCAAGACCCACGGAATATTGTGTGCTACAACTATGTGAAGTATGAAACCTGGACTGTCTACCTTCAGCAGCAAAAATAAGTTTGTTTCAAGCTTGTTTCGTTCTCCTGTAACCCCCAGTCAAAAAGAGGGAAGTGTGACAGAAAGCACCAGTCTCAGACAAAAAGCTGAGGAAATGATGTGTTTGTGGAAACAGACGCACCAGACAGAAAAGGGATTTTAACACTATTTAGTTTCACTTTAGTGTCTCTTCATAAAAGACATGCAAGAAAACTGCAACAACAACTTATAAAAAAGTATTTTTTGATGCAAAATAAGTTTTAATGGCAAAAACACCCACATCCAAAGTGTTAGGGTTAGGGTTTGGTGAATATTTCAAAATGTACTCATTCAAATTCTGTCAACATTTGCAAATTGAAAAAAGAGCCCATGACAAACGATACAAGAAAGAATGGCCACTATATTTATGTCAATAACAGTAACTCACAGAATAACAAAATTAATGATAAACACTAAAAAAGAAAATAAGTCGAAGTGGACGGACTATACCTATAGTATAAGTGCAATAAAATACAGTTCTGTGTGTGGTTACATCTCCACAGTGTCATTTTGTTGACAGAGACGGAGAGGAAAATAGTGAAACACTTTGTTTATGAAATCCTTCAATATTTTGTTCATTAGGCACCCCAGCTTAAAGCACCAAGACAAGAGCTGAAGTAGACAAACTAGTTTTTTCACATCCACAAAATGTGTGTTCTCAGACCCCCACAACGGCAACTTCTTATAGATGATACAATACATTTGACGTTGTGGTCAGAGACTTATACCAGAATGTTCTGGAGAACTACTTTAGCATTTAGCTTTTCTGTGAGTATCCAACCCTAACCCTTTTCACGTTTATCCATTCATTTTCTACTTAAGAGATTAGTTCTACTTTCCGTTCCGAAAAGAGAAATGATCCTGATGAAGGAGGCTTAAGTACATTTATTGAACACAGTTTTTTGTGTTTCTGCAGAGGAGCGTGGAGTCGAGAGGAACGACCGCAGAGAAGCACCCGGATGTGGATCAGCAGACGGCCGACAAACACACAAAGACACACAAATCCAACTGAGAGGGACCAGCAACCACACGCACAATTCTGGCCCTGGCTGAGGAAGATACAAGAGCACACCGCACACATATACACACACACACATGCTCAGACGCACACACACACACATGTAGGTCTGGGCAATATGTTGTTTTAAAAAATCCTTGATTGATATGAGGTACTTTTTGTCTTAAAATGAGAACTTATGATACACCCATCAGATCTCAACTCTCGATTGTCAAGTGTTGTTTTGTCTTTTTCACAAAAAACACGAAATATTATAATATTTGACCCTTTTTTCTCACATTCGTACAGATTTGTCTGCACAATTGTCTCTGCTTCTGTTTGAAATGTGCAGAAACAGATATATATTGACCAGCCCTACACACACACAAACACACAAGCCCTAACAAACATAGACACCTACACTAACACACATATGCATTCACGCAAATACACATACACTTACACACGCACACACATACACACTACTATTGGAAATCAATGACTGGACTGCAGTATAAAAGGCATGCGTTCTAGAAGTTATTTTTGAGGTAGCTCTGGTCCCGTCTGGAACTCTCTGGTTTGTGGTTTTTCTTCTATCGTGTGGACACTGCTTTCTAATTGTGTGATCTTTCTAGAAAATCCTTTGCACTGGTGAGCCCTGACTGTACCTGTGACCAGTGTCTGATATGATTATGTAAAATATTCTTATTAATACTTACACCCCCCTCCCCCCGACCCAAGCGATGGTCCCTCTTCCCGGCCTGGTTGATTTACTCCACATTTTTAATATAGAGGCTCAAGTTGGCTGGCCAACTCACGCTGCACCTTTCCCCTCCGGCTTTGGCTCCGGTTCTCTGCATTAGAAGCTTGTTTATAACAAAGTCAAGTGGATCGTGGTGATGTATTTGCTTGTGAACCGTTGGCCAAATTGTAAATAATGCATTTTTTGTAATAGTCACAGGAGGGAGTTAGAAGGTTGAAAAAGGGTTCAGATGTTGGTAAAAAATCACATGAGTTTTAGGAAAAAAGTTGAAACTTCTACTTTCTACTGTCTGTGGAAGCAGAATTAAAATAAACGTATCTTGGCTATAGGTGAGAAAGACAAAGGGACAGACAGATCTTTCAGCACTTTAGTTAACCCCGTAGGGCAATTCATTCCCATCCTGAAGCCCGTGGCAGTACAGCGCCCGGGAACCAGGTCCAGATCTGTATGCTCTTGGTCAGGACCAGCCTGGCCTTAGCCATCCGTAAACTCCTGTCAATTATTATTTCCCTACATGTACGTCTGGGTCCTAGTGGCTCGGTTGTGTCCCATCCGACCAATCATTGGCTGGCTGTAGTTTTGCAATGACAGTGAATGCAATAGTGAAGTAATACATCTGGTTTGGCTCCAAATATCAAGAAATTGAAACCGGAACAAGAGGAATATATAGCAAATGTCATTGCTGGCAAAGACGTTGTGGCTCTACTCCCCACGGGCTCTGTTAGTGGCAAAGAAGTCTGTGGGGTAAAAAAACATAGATTGGTCCATAAGGGGCCGAGACCAATGTCCATAAATGTTCTTTCGTTCAAGTTCGAGAATTCTAATTCAGCTGGAGGAGAGGTGTGTTGGTAAACATTTATTTTGACAAAGTAAAGTTGTAAAAGAAAACACACAAATATTTTCACAAAACCGACAGACTATTAAATCTAAAGTTCTTTCTACTTGCCAACATCATGCATATGTTTATTGAATAATATCCCCATTTCTTGACACATGTACGAGAAGATATTTAGACCACAAGTGAGATGAACTGATTTATGCCGGCTTCATTTTCGGTCTTTAGTCGAGGTCTGTGAAAACATGGTCACATCAAAAGGCAAAGAGATTCCTTTATACTTTACTTTTGTCTCACTATTGACATTACAATGGAACTAAATACATCATGGTGAGACATTGATTTTCCCTTTAAAGCCGACAGCAACATTTTCTCACTTTTTCCTTTAATTTAACGCCACAGTGAGTGAAATCAGAGCCTGGAGAACTGTACCATTTTATGAACCCATGAGGGGTGAGCTCTGGAGGAATACATACTGTTTTTAATTAACATGGGAAAAACAAGAGGACATACTATGCAAATTGACACTTGTTAGCTTTTAGCCATGTTTTAATTGAATGCTAAAATTAACTAGGGAAAAAAAAAGACTCGATTCTTTGTAGAATTCTGCTATAGATCCAGGACCGAGGCTGTAGATCCAGGACCGAGGCTGTAGATCCAGGACCGAGGCTGTAGATCCAGGACCAAGGCTGTAGAGCCAGGACCGAGGCTGTAGATCCAGGGCCGAGGCTGTAAAACTGTCCCATATGGTGAGGTGGTTGTGGGGGAATTGTGGGTAAATCGTGGTCGGACTGGAGCCAAAGCCGGGCTAAAGGCTAAAGGTGTGTAGGTGCATCCCTCTGCCTGAGCACAGAGGCCCAGAGCCCAGACTCACAGTGGGTCGTCTCCTGAGAACGTGCCATGCACTGAGTAGTCCCTCCTGCTACATGCCCCCCTCCTCTCCCCCTCTCCCCTCTGTGTCCTTTCAATAAACGTTCACTTTTCAGGGACTCTGACCACGCCTCTTTCTTTGAGTGGAGCATGAGTAAGAATGTGAACTGGTTTATAGTGTTGGACCCGGGACTTGCAGGAGGGACTGTGTCTCTCAACTGGCCTGGGAACAACTCAGGATTCCCGCAGGCCAGCTGGAGGAAGTGTGTGTGGAGAAATCAGACTTCTGTCCCCAAGACCTGCCAACGGATGAAGCGGAAAATATTGGATGGATTTTGTTTATTACACTACGACATTTGCATTAAATTGGATAAAAACACCTCATGGTCTTAAAATCCCTTTCATTTTTCCAATAGGGATTAAAAAAAAAGTAAAATAAAATAAAAAAGACACACTTCAAATTTCTTCCTGAAAACTTTGGACACTTCTTAAATAGATTGTTGGCTGTGGATGTTTTGCACGACATAAATGATTCTTTGTTATAATGCACCACGAGAGCGATGAGTGTGAAATAAGTGCTCCAGCCTGAGCCCTGTATGTGGACCACTCCTACAGCGTCTTGAGCACAGACAAATGGACAATGCTTACCTACTAGCATGAACCATTTGGTCAATGAAATCCAATACGGAAGTGCTCTGGGACCTTTTGAAAGGAAACTCCTCTAGCTCAGTCATTATTTGTGTCACACTCACCATTTTGGGCTTTAACAATCTGTGGTTTAGCGCTCGCTCTGACCCTGAGGTTATTATTTTTATTTAGAAATTGCTCTCAAATCTGGATCTACACTGTCAACGAGGATTGACCAATCAGATGCCTTTACTTCATTTGCAGCAGAAACTCCAGCTCGCCTTAGCAACCATCATAGCAACACATCGGTCCTTGATACGGGGCAAAGCTAACCCCGTCAAAACAAATGCTCATATAAGGAAATTGGCTCCAGCTAGCTTATAATCTTCTGCATTTGGCTAACACTATGGGTGAAGTCACACTCAGTCAGTCCACTCTTCACATACAGCCTATGGTCACAAGCCGATGCCTGCAGCTTCTGTTCTGAGGCGGGTTCCATCTGCTTCTGTAGCTTTCTGCAAACGGCCCTAGAAACCAAAAGAACCGCTGCCAACCGTGTGGTGACGAAGGCGAGATTCCGGAGAGCGAAGCCAGGGCCTGCGAGGAATCGGATGGCACGTGGTCAACGGGAGACTTCTACGCAAAAAGTTTTTATTCTATCAGTGATGAGCCGAGCCTTCAGATCATTTCATTAAGACTGTGATCTCTGTAGGGGCCTCTAACATGCATCTATTTGTTTTTCTTTACACCCTCAACATCAGTGGTGGGCAATCAAATTATTCAGGGGGAAAACACAATCGGATATCGCTCAATTGTGAAACAAACTGCTTTGAGAGTGACTAGTGACAAATTATTTGTTATTTGAACGTAACAGAAAGTCACAAACTAGTAATTTGCCTAAGGTATATGGTAAGTAATGAAATAAAAATAAGCATGCAAAGTTAGGCAATCCATGAATCAGAGAAGGCCCTGTCACTGTCCAAGGTGCTGAAACGTGGAAAGGGCAGTGCAAGGTTTATCTGATGACTCAAACATGCATGTCTCACTAAATGAAAAGGTAGACACTTTAGTTTGTTAAAGCTGGGGTACCTGACTTTCCAACCACAACAATTCAAAGAAACAAAATCCATCTAAACAGATTCTCACTCTCACCACAGATTGGTTTCATCACTAGTTTCCAAACGCATGTAACATCTTCAGATCAACCAGACAGGAGTACCCTCATTCAGCTCTAAACCCAAAAGTAAAATAGTGACTCTTATAAAAATATGAAAAAGACAAAATATTAGATTCCCCAGCTTTATTAAGTGTCTAATTTGTTCTCATATAAGAGTTACTGTATAAGTAAAAGCAGTATTTCTTACATTAATACTATTTAGCACTTTTTGTAAACTCCAACACATAAGGCATCATTTTTTTCACTCCATACACAGTGGTGATAAATTACTACCATTACCTTAACTGCCCTGGGGCAGACTGACATAAACAAGGCAACGAGTGCACTATTTGCAGTGCACTTCCTACAGCTGCAACATAAGAGAAAAGCCTTGTATTTCCCCACTGCATTAAATGTCAACATCAATACCACACACAGACACACGCACACACCTCCACAATTATTTCAAAACCCCAATTAGTCACGACAGATTGATCTCGTACTGACACAGCAGCTCGAACATGCGTTTTCCCGTTAGCTTTAGCTTCCTTCATCCTCAACCTGCGCTGGAGGATCAGAGCCTGGAGCGGTCTCGGGCCGGACTCACTCTGGGTAATGTGCTGTGAAAGGATCTTCTGTCATGATCAATGCTCCCAGCCTTGTGTGTGTGTGTGTGCGCGTGTGTCTCATGCTGCAACTTGCACAGATGTAACGGGTGACGCAACACTGATATTTCCCCACTGTGCTGTATCTGAGGGAGGTTT